ACTATGAAACGACATGGAAGAAGTGATCATGTTTTCCAAAATACTTGGTCAAAACTATATGACTGGCTTGACAAGAATACCTAAGTTGAGCAGTTAGTTTGATAATATGTGAATCATTTTGGTTGGAAATTAAGTTGTAACAGGTGAAGGATCCCTGTTTTTGTTTTGTTTTGTTTGTTTGTTCTTGAACTGGAAAACAATAAAGATATAATAAGGGGGGGAAGAAAGTGGGCGGGGCCAGCTGGGGCTTTTGCCCGCCTGGACTTCTGATTGGCTGTGCAGATTACAAGGCCTCCTGTGAAACCCAGCTTCTGCCTGAAATGCTGAAGAGTTACTACGGCCCCGGGCACAGGGGCCGGAAAATGCGGGGGGAGGTGTGGCTAATTGCCCCGGAGGAAAATAACGTGCAGAAGTCCTTTCGAGGTCCCGTGGGTAGGCGTCAGGTGCAGATCAGACGGCTAGTCCGCAGCACGGCAAAGAAGCAGCACGGCGCGTTCAAACCGGCACTCGCGCCGTGCTGCTCCTGTGGCAAACGCCGCTTCCTGTTTGTGCGCATGCGCCGTTGGGCGCTTTTCCGCATCCTGCGAAGACTTGGGGAGAAAACTCCTCTTGGTCGTGACGGAACATCGGCAGCCACCGGATGCCACGACAGTCCACCGGAAACACAGTCAGATGCCCACCCTTGCCCCGCGGTTTCCAGAAACTAGTACCTCATAGGTACTAGTTTTTAACTCAGCACCTTCAGCAGGGAGCCACGGGTTCGCCACGGGAGCACTGCGCTTCCCAGATGCTGGGGTGTGATCACGCCCGGAAAATCTGCGGGACTCCCGTGTCTCTCCCGCAAGTTGCCGTGTGACCGGGGTCTATGAGAGTTTTACACAACTTTGCTCCTGGGAGTTTTGTGGTTGGCTCCGCCTCCCGCTGCAGCCATTTTGTAGCTGCACCCACCACCCTCTGTCAGAATTCCAGAGGTGCCTACAGGCTCAAAAAGGTCGGGGACCTCTGTCCAAAGCTTGTGGGGCCCTCCAAGCGGCTCTGGCCTGTGGCTCAGTGGTAGAGTGGCCATGGCTCAGTGGTATCAACAGAAGGATTAGTGTCCAGATCACGTGAAGTGATGGTATTGCTTTACTCTGCTCTGGTTAGACCTCACCTAGACTGTTGTGTTAAGTTTTCGGCACCACAATTTAAGAAGAATATAGACAAGCTGGAATGTGTCCAGAGGAGGGCAACGAAGATGGTGAGGGGTCTGGAGATGAAGTCCTATGAAGAAAGGTTGAAGGAGCTGGGTATGTTTAGCCTGGAGAGGAGACGACTGAGAGGTGATATGATAACCATCTCCAAGTACTTGAAGGGCTGTCATAGAGAGGATGGTGCAGAGTTGTTTTTTTCTGTTGCCTCAGAAGGTCAGACCAGAACCAGTGGGTTGAAATTAAATCAGAAGAGTTTTTGGCTAAACATTAAGAAGAACTTCCTGACAGTTAGAGTGGTTCCTCAGTGGAACAGGCTTCCTCGGGAGGTGGTGGGCTCGCCTTCTTTGGAGGTTTTTAAGCAGAGGCTAGATGGCCTTCTAACAGCAATGTGGATTCTGTGAACTTAGGCAGACCATGAGAGGGAGGGCAGGAAGGGTTGCCTCAGTGCTTGGTTCTCGTGGCCCTTTCTTACACGCCGGGGAAATGCTGATCGCACTTTGAGGCCAGGAAGCAATTTTTCTCAAGGCCAGTTTGGCCAGGGATCCTGGAGGGTTTTTGCCATCTTCTGGGCATGGAACAGAGGTCACTGGTGGTATGTGTGTGGGGAAGGTATTTGTGAATTTCCTGCATTGAGCAGGGGGTTGGACTGGATGACCCTGGAAGTCCCTTCCAGCTCTATGGTTCTATCTGCTTGGCATGCAGAAGGTCCCAGGTCTGATCCACGGCATGGCCATAAGTGATGTGAAAGATTTCAGCCTGAGACCCTGGAGAGCTGCCACCAGTTTGAGTAGACAAGGCTGACCTTGATGGACCAAAAAAATTGATTCAGTATCAGAGAGAAGAGAAGAAGAGAAGAGATTGGATTTATACCCCGCCCTTCACTACCCAAAGGAGTCTCAGAGTGGCTTACAAACTCCTGTCCCTTCCCCTCCCCACAACAGACACCCTGTGAGGTAGGTGGGGCTGAGAGAGCTCTTGACAGAAAGTGCTCTTTTTCAAGGACAGCTCTTATCAGAACTATTTATTTATTTATTTATTTATTTCAGCTTCTATACCGCTCAGACCCGAAGGTCTCAGAGTGGTTCACAATTGTGCTGCAAGTGCAGATTGGTCCTAATCTATGGCCACATTATTGAAGGGTGGGGATGCCTACCAGCACCCGGGTGGGTTCGCTGTTTCTCCTCGGCAGTCTTCTGGGTCAGCCAGCGTCTGTGTCAGTTCTTTTTCCCAGCGGTGGTCTTCCGGCGCACGGCCTGTGGAGGTGTGGCTCTGCTCTGTCCATTTCCGACTCCGCTGCGCCTGCGCCACCCACGCCGCCGTGCGTTTCTTTGTTGCTCCGCCTCCTCCGTTGACGGACAGGCACCGGGTACTGGACGCAGTTGTCTTCCTTGGCCACCAGGGATCGCCGTGTCGCGTCGCCGCAGATGCCGCACCACTGCTGCCGTCCTCGCCGTCGCCACAGATGCCGCCGCCATTGCTGGTCTTCTCGCTGCCGCCGCCGCCGAACTCCACCACGTCCCCACACGGAGGAGGGTGCCCCCTACCCTTCTAAGGGTAGGTACCCATTTATCTACTTGAATTTAACTTTCGAACCGCTGGGTGGGCGGGAGCTAGGACTGGGGCCGGGTGCTCACCCCGGCCACGGTGGGTCTCGAACAGCCATAGGGCTGTTCGCTATGATGTTACAAGCAAGCGTTGTTATTGCTTGCGCCACCGCTCCATCTTGCTGTCATAGTCTGCTTGCCCAAGGTCATCCAGCCAAGTGCAAGTGGAGGAGTGGGGAATCGAACCCGGTTCTCCCAGATTAGAGTCCATGCACAATCACTACACCAAACAGGCAGCTTCACGTGTATTCATGTGTGTTCTTGTGGCTCTTTCCAGGTCTTCAGGCCCATATGAACGAGATTCCTTTGGTCCACTGGAAGGAACAGATACACATCTCGAAAGAAACTCACTGCCCATGGTTGAGCTGATGCAATGAGGCTGCTCTGCTGGTATGTGGCAAAGCAGGTAAAGGCTATAAATATTCTGTCAAGAGGTTTCTGTGGGAAAATGTAAGCAGTGTCAAGGCGGCCAGGGCAAAACTCGTGAAAGGCTGTCCTGGCAAGCAGCCGCTTTCTTTTTCTCAGTTGGGAAGCCGCAAATGTCATGTTTGCAGTGCTGCAAATGCAGTTGCCATTCATACGTCACACTAGGACGGGTGGGGCAGTCTATTTGGGGTGGTTTCACACACGTTGAAGAATCCACTTTTAATCTGTTTTCAGTGCCCTTTGAAAATGGAGTCCCCCCCCCCCCGCGTGAAACAGCAAAATCCACATCCAAATGATTGCTAAAGTGCATGGATGTCTACTTTCGCTTTTGGCTGCTTGTAGTTATATTAGTCGGCCCAGACGCATATCCTTGAGCCCCAGTCCGGCCTGGCATTATCTTTTCCCTGGGAACTATCGGTCGTTATTTCAGCGAGTCTCTAGCTTAGGTGTGGTTTGCCACAGGCCATTAGGGTCCTGCTTGATTGAGGTATAATTGCTTGCTTCTCTCGCTTTTACCCAGTTCTAACACAGAAAAGTTAACCATCTGGATCCTATCAATGTCTCAATAACTTTCTATTCTTTGAATGACTGTTGTTGGGCCATTGCTTTCTTCTGTAGAGTCTTCCTCGGCGGTCTCCCATCCAAGAACCCACCCTGCTTAGCTACTGAGAACTAACGCGAGCGGGGCTATACCACACTGCCTTCCCTCCCAGCAGGGGTCGATTCGGGGGAATCGCGGGGGATCGCCGTTCCCCCGGGTGAGGTGCGGGGGCGAGGCACACGACGAAGCCCTGCCCCCTGCTTCCGGTCGGGGTAAAATGGCGATTTGACGCACCCTGTAAGTGCTCAGGGTGGACGGGTGTTCCTTACAGCAGTTTGGACTGTATTTTGGTCCAACGCGGCTTCCCCCAGGCAGGGGGAATGCCTGGCAGGCATCAAGACCCAAGAGAGAGTTGAGATTGGTGTGATCAAGTCTCGGAGGAGGCTTGTATTACACTTTGATCCCCTCTCCCGAAGCGGGCGAGCGCATTCAGGGGGGGTGGCCTTATGACACACTTCCGGTGATGTCAGGGGGTGTGGTATATGCTAATGAGTTATGCTAATGAGTTCCCCAGCTCTTTTTCTACAAAACGACCCCTGCCTCCCAGTGAGCGATTGCTACTCATTGAAGATTGTAGAGTAATGAGGTATGAATGATGGTAGAAGGGTTAGTTTAGAAGGCGAGAGAACTCTGTCCAAATTGCAGACTCTATCACAATGAACGTGAGTGAAAAGGCAGTCTTGGCACTTCGGCTTTTAGACAAGCCAACTGGGTGTTCAGCTCTTGTGATCTCTGTATTTCCATGGAACAGTTCCCTTTGTCAGCCTCCCAGCTGGGGTTTTGGAGCAGGCCTGAATGACAATAAGGTGAGGCTAGGCTTGCCAATCTCCAGGTGGGGCCTGGAGATCCCCCCTAGTATTACAACTGACCTCTAGACAATAGAGATCTGGAGACAGTGGCTACTATGGAAGATAGACTCTATGCCAGGGGTGGTCAAACTGTGGCGCTCGGGAGCCCCATGTGGTTCTTTCGCACATAGCGTGCGGCTCCCGGCAGGGCAGCTGGGGAAGCTGAATATCATCAGCAAACCAATATAATTGGACAAATAAATATAATCATCATCAATACCTGCTTTTATCCCTTTTGCTATTTTTTTCGGCCATCTCGTTTAATGTTAATAAAAAGCAAATCTGCGTATTTTCCAATAAAAACATGTAATATCTGTTCATGTCTTGCTGCTCTCAAGCATCTGATGCTTATTCTATGCGGCCCTTACGTTAAGCAAGTTTGGCCGTCTCTGCTCTATGGCATGATGCCACAACGAGGGAGGTCTCTCTTCCCCCCAAACTCTGCCCTTCCCTGGGCCCACTCCCCAAACCCCCAGGAATCTCCCAACCCAGAGCTGGCAACCCCAGGTGAGGCTGAGGCCGGAGGACAAGGAGTCCGACTGGATTAGCAGCCCCGGGGTCATCCAGGAGATGAAAAGGGAAGCCAGGAGAGAGGAGGTCGGACCAAAAGGAGAAGTGAGGAGGTCAGGTCAAGGGGGGAGATGGTGTCCGTCAAGGGGGTGGCCCCCCAAATAAAGCGGGAATTGAGTGCGCAGGGGGTGTTGTGGGTAGAGTCTGGTTGTGGCCAGAGGAGCAGATGTGTCGTTATGTGTTTGCACACTGAGGGCTACTCTATCGTTGTATTCTCCAGGGGACTCCTCGTGAATCAGCCAAGGTGTTTCTGCTGTTGCTTCACGTAACCCAAACCCACCACGTTGTTCGAGCTGCTTCCTGTAAGACAGCAGAAACAGCCGGAAGATTAGACAGAATGTTAGTCATTTCGACCATCCGTACAAAGTTATGACACAAAGGGCCCCTCGAGGGGGTGGCCAGGAGAGCCCCAGAGGTGGACATTCCTTTTTGAAGGGATGGAAAACTTGCTTACACAATGCATAATTTTACAGACCACGGTCAGGTTCCCACCTTACCTACATAAGTGCTGTTAGGTCGCAACTGACTTACAGTGACCCCATCCAGGGTCTTTTAAGGCAAGTGAGAAGCAGAGGTGGTTGGCCATTGCCTGCCTCTGCAGAGTCTCCCTTGGTGGTCTCCCTTCCAAGCACCAACCCCAGCAAGGGGCTTTCAAGGCACGTGAGAAGCAGAGGTGGTTGGCCATTGCCTGCCTCTGCAGAGTCTCCCTTGGTGGTCTCCCTTCCAAGCACCAACCCCAGCTAGGGGCTTTCGAGGCAAGTGAGAAGCAGAGATGGTTGGTCATTGCCTGCCTCTGCGGAGTCTTCCTTGGTGGTCTCCCATCGAAATACCAACCCCGGCCAGGGGCTTTCAATGCAAGTGAGAAGCAGAGGTGGTTTGCTATTGCCTTCCTCTGCAGAGTCTTCCTCGGTGGTCTCCCATCCAAGTACCGACCCTGCTTAGCTGCCGAGGTCTGAGAAGATTGGGCTATTCCATGCCACCTTCCCTCCTGGTTCCCCCTTTATTCATCTTTTTTCTAAAGCCAACCATCACCTGGGACTTGGTGGCTGGCCACTAGCATGGTTCTTGAATGTCCACAAACACCTGTTTGCATATGCAAGTCATCCCTTGACCTCACATACATAAACCCGCCCCTGGTCTGTTTTGGTTGTCGGGCTTGGGTGTGCATTCGAGCAAACCTGGTGTGCAGACATGCCTTGAAACCGAATTCATCACAGCCATGGTCAGATCTGAATGCTGGTGTCTTACCCAAGTATTCCTTGTAATATTTAGGCTGTAGGTTCCGCCCATCTGGGGAAGAAAGAAAGGCACAATGCGATAAGTATCTGGTTGGGCAACAGCTGCCTACGCGTTGTACTTTTAAATGGCACATTTGCATGAAAGTCATGGCAAATGCTGGGGTGTCGGCTTCAGGTGGCCTCGAAGGTAGCAACGTGTTCCACAATCGCCCAGAAAGAGGACAGGGACAGATTGGAGCCAGCGGACTAGAGAGCCCAACCACTGGCTGTATACTCTGTGGAACAGTTACAGGGACACCTAGTGTCAAGAAGCCAGAAGTACATGCAGGATAGGATTGCAGACTCCAGGGTGGGAAATTCCTGGAGATTTTGGGGGTGGAGCCTCAGGAGGGGAGGGGCCTCAGCAGGGTACAATGCCCTCCAAACACCCTCCAAAGCAGCCATTTTTTCCAGGGCAAGTGGTCTCTGAGAGCCAGTTTGGTGTAGTGGTTAAGAGCGTGGACTCTAATCTGGGAGAACCGGGTTTGATTCCCCACTCCTCCATATGCAGCTGCTGGTGTGACCTTGGGTCAGTCACAAGTTCTCTCAGAGCTGTTCTCTCAAGAGCAGTCCTCGAAAGAGCTCTCTCAGCCCCACTTACCTCACAGGGTGTCTGTTGTGGGGAGGGGAAGGGATTGTAAGCCTCCCTGAGACTCCAAGTGAAGGGCGGAGTTTAAATCCAATCTCCTCCTCCTCCTCCAACTCTTCTTCTTCTTCTTCTTCTTCTTCTTCTTCTTCTTCTTCTTCTTCTTCTTCTTCTTCTTCTTCTTCTTCTTCTTCTTCTTCTTCTTCTTCTTCTTCTTTATTTATTTTTTACACTTATATCCCGCCTTCCCCAGTGGGCTCAGGGCGGCTAACAGAGGCCAGATCATTAGTCTAGCCATAAGTAAAACATATAAAAATATAATAAAACATCAAAACTAAGACTAAAGTGCTCTATCCAGTTACTAGTGTCCTAGATCCAAGATGGTATCCCCACGACTCGAGCTGGTATTCTCAGCGTACATATCCAGTGGCGACGGCGTTTCTGATGTAATTCCAAGTTCTTCCTGGGGCCCCGTCAATGCATCCATTCAGATGTCTTGACGGTGGTGGTATAGTAGGGCGGCGGCTCCTACTCAAAAGCCTGGCGGAAGAGCTCCGTCTTGCAGGCCCTGCGGAACTGTGAGAGGTCCCGCAGGGCCCGGATCTCCCCCGGGAGCTCATTCCACCAGGTAGGAGCCGCCACCGAAAACGGCCTGGCCCTGGT